ATCTACAGGTGGGCGAAGCCGGCGTTCATGGTGTCGGCGACAGTGTTCTGCGAAGCCAGCATTCATGGTGCCGCTTCTCTTATTGTTCCGTGCCGCGCTGGACATAGAGTTTGGGAGACAAAAGTCCAACAGACGGCGACTCTCTTGTCGTCCTGTTGAACGCTGCTGGTGTACGCTTCGGACGTAGGCTGCAGGGAGAGGACTGGGAGGATCAGGATGACGAGGGAGCGGAGCAGAGCCGCGCCGTCGGTCATGGAAGGGATCAAGCACCTAACGAGATTTGGAAATAAACATTCTTCAGCAACAGCAGAATCGGCCGTGAAATGATTCAGGGGTGATGTGGTGTCCAACACAGATGCGCGCAATGTCGACGTCATCTCTCGCTCACGATATGCGGAATTAAACACGTGGGCACAACAGTCCGATAGTTCCAATTCTCCCACCCGCGTCAATCGCCAACCGCTTCCTCCTTTCAGTGGGTCCCACCCGAGAGGAGTCGCTACCTTCCTGCCCACCAACCAAGGGCCTCGATCTCTCCTTCGTCGTGATATCGCAAGCTGCCACCGTTGGATTTGCGCCCAAAACCGCACGCCGGGGTTTTATATTCACACCCAACCCCATAACTCCGCGTCCTCTTTCGCGGCCAATCTTTGTGAGAGACAGAGCGCGAGAGAGAGGGGCGCTCCGCCGAAACCCTCGTCTCGATCTCGCGGCCCCGATCGCCAATACCGGAGGGTGGAAACCCGATCGCCTCGATCTCGTCTCGTCCCCAATGGCAGACGATCTGGTGGAGGCGAAAAAGCCGGATGGCTGCGACGCCGACGCGACGGTGATCCAGAGGAGGATCGAGTTCCACCCTGCCCGTAAATTCTTCTCACCATCGTCCAATGGGGCTTTCTATCTTGAAACCCTGAACCCCGATTCGGAAACTCCCAGGCCCTCGGCGTGCAATCGGGATCCTCCCGCGGTTTCGGCGCCGTCACTGGGGAGGAGATCGGATGGTGTGGAGGCCTATGAGCATGAAATGGACCCCGAGCTCAGCTCTAGGATCAGGTTTCGTAATATTGTAAGTGCAGTTTTTGGTATGCTGCCGATTCGGGATTCAGAAGTTGTTGATCTTGTAATTTTGGGGAGCGTCTTTCTTGATTGTATGGTACCTACCGCTTGATTGGGCGGTCTATTCGTTTATCTGATGGGAAACAGTTGTAGTCTAATAGTTTCCTTCTTTACATTATCTCTTACTTTTATGTAAACCTCCCAGATTGGCTGTTAGTCTGTTTCCTTTGCTTTTACAATCACATACTATGGGTTTTGAGATTGTAACATCCCGAGTAAAAGCGTGAAAATCTTATAATTTACAGGGTGCTGGATTGGCCAATCTTGGCAACACTTGTTTTCTTAATTCAGTCCTTCAATGCCTGACATACACTGAGCCTTTTGCTGCATATCTACAAAGTGGGAAACA